ACAAAATATGTTTACCGAACGGGAGATCGAAATCAATGCCTATTCTTATGACACAATCAAAGCGTTTCTCATGTTTTTGTATGGATTGCGACCCGAAGTGAATGACCAGAACTGTCGACAACTGTTAAGATTGGCCGAAGAGTACGGCGAACGCGGACTCAAAGACATATGTTTTGAATATCTCATGAAATTTGTCTAAATTTTTGAATAACTTTTACTTCAATTCAAATTAATATAAATTCAGTATTTATATTAAATATATTTATAATTTCAGAGAAAATTAGTTTAAACTAGTTTAATAATAAAATTAATTAATTTTAACTAATTATAAATTCGAATCATTATCTAATTGTAATCCCATTTTTAATTGATAGTAATTAAAAGTAATTAATAAAAATTACTATATTTTGTCAATATTTTTGAAATGTAGTCAAAATTCATTTTCTCATACATTAGCGAAATTTTTTTAATTAAAATTAAGTTTAAAAATATATGAGTTATTATAAAATCAAATTAAAACTACTAAATTAAAAGTTGTAATAAAAAACAGAAAAATAATAATTAATTTGTAGTTAAATTTAGCGCCAATTGATAGACAAACATGTGATTCAAAGCATTGTTTACATTGTTTTGAATGCAAAGTTCAGTCAATTGTCATCGAAATAATGGCCAAACAAATGGCAATTCAATCCATGGATCAGTTGCCGATCGTCTCGGCATTCAAAATACTCAGACCAGTGATGGCCGACCGGCGGCTCAAGACATCCATCCGCTTGTTGTGTGTTTACGGTTACAACGGATCCGAAGTAATCTTCGCGACCACTGATGACAAGGTCTAATAAATTCGGACGTCTGGGCGTAGGGGCGGACACGAGTCCCGTAACTGATCCCACACTCGTCACCGCACTCTGCGGTCAACGGCTGGCGAACATGTATTACGGCTTCGGTTACTGTATTGGCGTTTGCAGTGATGGCCGGTGTTATGGTTGGGGCGATAATAGTTACGGCCAATTAGGCGACGGCCAGACTTACGGCCACTCAAACGCACCGAAACTCATACCGATTGCCGGCCGAGTGGTGGACGTGTCGTGCGGTAACAGTTTCAC